TGACACTTGCTTTTGTCTCCTTTTGAGGATTTCACAGAAATGTGACATTGCATTGATGATCATCTACAATCCCAGAGTGAGCGAGAGAGAGAGGGAGAAAGAAAAGAACCATTGGCTCAGTTGTGATCATGTGACATTTGGCATCATGTACTCCTCATATTGCAAGACATCACTCATTTATCAAGATAAAATTTGTTAGGGATGTTTGTTCATCTTTGCGGAACACTCGCAGAACAAGTTACTCAGAATCCAAGGCTTTACTGTATGTAGATCCATGTCCTCAAAAAGAGTAGGTAAGAAGAGGGTGTCATTTGATGTGGTTAAAGCTCCAGTGTATGAATAAACATGTCTAAATAATGCTAACTACAGCAATGAAACAGAAAATGGCCAGTTTGGAGGAATACAAAGTACAAATACCTCCCCTCATTCCTACCTGCCCATACTTTCTATTAATTGTATTCTGGCTTGGAAGTTGGAATTTGAGGACAGAAATGGCAGACAGTGGCCATTGCAGGAGGCCAAAAGTGGAATCAGGAATTCTCCACTGGGTCCATGATTCCCAGGTTTGCTGTTTAAGTTAAAGAAAATGTAGACAGCAGTAGCAAGGCTTTTTGATGGCCAAGAAAGTTGAAAGAATGTGATAGAAACCTGTGAGGATGCGGTGACATGTAGAAGATAGTTCAGATGCTTTCTGTAACAGGGTATATTAAAATAATGGTCTCTTTCATTAGGGTCAAAGTAATGATAGAGATTTTCTTATAGGGGTTGCAGTCAGTTTCATTATTTTATGATAAATGCTTCATACTTTAAAAGGTGAGGAGATTTGGTGCACCTGGGTGGTTCAGTCAGTTAAACGTCTGACTCAATTTCAGTTCAGGTCATGATTTCACGATCATGAGATTGAGCTTCTCATCGGGTTCTGTGCTGAGCGTGGAGCCTGCTTGGGATTCTCTCTCTCCCTCTCTTTCTATCTCTCTCCCCTCCCCTGCCCTCAAAATAAATAAATAAATAGATAGATAGATAGAAGTAAATTAAAATAAGAGGTGATGAGATCATATACTGCCTGACTACACATATATATATATATATATCTGTGCATGTGTGTGTATATATATGTGTGTGTGTGTATACACATATATATGTATATATGCATGTATATGTATGTATGTATATGATTTCTTCCCTTGATGTGTAAGAGGCGGGCACCATTTATAGACAGCAATTAGTTAACAAAGGGAGCTCTCCCAAGGATACACTTTTTATTCTTTCTCAATAAAAGCCTGCATAAAGAGTTGGAGCATAACCGACTTAACAGGTACTTAATCCTTATCATGCCTATTGCTCATAGTCCCACTTCAGTGTTTTGAAGGAATAACAGAGTGATGTGGCTCCTAAGTAGATTTATTTTCAGAGGTGTCCTGAAGCCACCTCTGAGCTAGCATATCCTGGAGTAACCTGGTTGTATTTCTTTTGGACTGTGAAACAGAAAGCTTAAATAAATGGAGAAGCTATATATTTGTGGGTCCATTTCTGGGTTCTCTAATCTATTCCATTGATCTGTGTGTCTGTTTTTGTGCCAGTACCATACTGCCTTGATGATTACAGCTTTGTAATACAGCTTGAATTCCGGAATTGTGATGCCTGTAGCTTTGGTTTTCATTTTCAACATGACTTTGGCTATTCAGGATATCTCTGGTTCCATACACATTTTAGGATTGTTTGTTCTAGCTCTGAAGAATGCTGGTGGTATTTTGACAGGGATTGTATTAAATCTATAGATGGCTTTGACTTTGAGTGGATATAGACATTTTAACAACATTTGTTCTTCCAATCCATGAGCATGGAATGTTTTTCTATTTTTTGTGTGTCATCTTCAATGTCTTTCATAAGCTTTCTATAGTTTTCATTGTACAGATCTTTTACCTCTTTGGTTAGGTATGTTAACTAACTTGAATTTAAATTAAAAAAATAAAAATGGGAAAAGAAATGGAGAAGCCATTTGATGCTATGTTTTCCAAAACATTGCCTACCCATGCCACTGTTGATGGGCTCTTCTAGTGTCATGTAGTATAACTAGTATGGTATAGTATTACTCTACTATATTATAATGTAATACAATTATTATTACTATATTATGTTATACCAACCAGTACAGTATATAGTTGGTGACCAGAATTTTGGAATGTTATGATTGGAAAGCTAACTAATTTAGAAACTGCCAAGCCCAGGGGCACCTGGGTGGCTCAGTCAGTTAAGCATCTGACCCTTGATGTCAGCTCAGGCTGTGATCTCACAGTTTGTGGGTTCAAGCCCCACATTGGGCTCCACGCTAACAGCATGGAGCCTGCTTGCAATTCTGTCTCCCTCTCTCTCTCTCTGTCCCTCCCCTGCTCACTATCTCTCTCCCAAAATAAATAAATAAACATTAAAAAAAGAAACTTGCCAAGCCCCAGTAAGAGAAAGAGTGATGACTTGAGATCTAAGAATACTGTGGCTTTTTTTCCCCATGGAAAAGAGGTTGAGTTGCACTAACAGTTCTCCTTTATACTTACTCTGAATAAAGTTCATTTATTCTTTAGAGAAAATGTACAGATAAATATTTCTGTGAACTCCTGAAGGTAAGTCTGGGCTACTTTAGAAAAAATAAAAAGTGACGCCATTGGCTTTTCCAGGCCCTAGGAACTATTCTAGAATACCCTTATAGCTTTAGGAGTTCAGAGCTGACTTGCCTCTTTTCTCGGGGTGGAATGTCCTCTAATAGGATGGTTGGCTTGGTTTTACATAAGCCCGTTGGAGCTTGGATTCTTTTTTTGACTTGAGGGAGGCAGCAACTGCAGCTTTTGATTCCACTTTTAGCTGCAGTTTAGCTCTTCTGTGTACCTATAAAGTAAATGCCATGTAAATAGGAGCCCAGGATAGGGTTACTCGTTCTCAAAAGGTCATGTACCAACTGCAGTTGCTGAGTAAGTGTTCCTGCATCTAGGGATGTTTATAACAGTCTTGTTTCCATTTATTTCTGCAGAGTGTAGTGAAGCTGATGAGGGGACTGCTCCACTGCATGATCCGACAGGTATGGCATTGGTACCAGCTCCCTCTTGAATAAAAACGCATTGTAATAGTGTCTCTACCCTTTAGGGAATGTTTACAGCTTATGTTTTTTCAACTTCACCAACAGCGGACACTTAAGTTTAGAAAATTTGTAGAATCAAGGAAGGAACTATCACCCATGATCTCACCACCCAGTTACCACTAGCATGTTTCCTTTCAGTCTTTTTTCGCCCCCTCTACAAATGGCTCTTTAATATTCTTCATCACTACTGTACATGCAATTCTGGACATTGAGTAAAGAGGACACAGGCTCTAAGCCCTCATTTGAAACCCTTGGGACCAGATAAATTTTAGAATTCAAACTTTTTCAGATTTTTAAGTCCAGTGCATGTGCTATATATTATGTTATGCTCTCAGCAGGGCCAGAATAGCACTGGATTATCAAAAACAGTAATCTCTCTGTAGGGGAGAATGCATTTCCATACTGAGTGGAACAAATTAAAACTACAAATAGCCCCATGTCAATCTGAGTCAGGTTTTGCCACTAAATGAATTTTGGTACAAAATTTAGAGGAAAAACCTTTTGTTAGTGTTGTAGATTTTAGGATTGGAGATACGTGTCTAGGATTTATATCTCCTTGCATTAATTAGCATTTTCTTGACCTGGAATGAAGTTGAGCGTCTTTTCTGGTATAAATTGAAAATTTTCATTTCCTCTTTTAATTACCTGTTAGATCCTTTGCCTATTTTTCTTTTGGGCTGTCTCTTTCTTGACTACTTGAGTTCCTGTATATCATGGATATTAATGTTTTGTCACATATACTGCAAATATTTTTTAGCAGTCTGTGGTTTATCTTTTGCATTTATGATTTTTTTTCATTCGAAAGTATTTTACCAAAAAAAAAGTGTTTTACATTTATCCTAGGAGATCTTTACACACCTTGCACACATTGAATTTAAACTGATTTTCTTGAGTCTAAGATTACATTTTATTAGAAGAAGCAAGCAAAGCCCAGATTAATGAAGTGACTGTCCACAGGCACACAAGTCTAAAGTAGAAATAAAAAGAAATCAATTCCACACTTCTGAACTTCTTTATTCGTGCTTTCTCTCCTGGGGTCTCATAGTCATCATTTCTCTTTTCCCCTTCTTTGCTACTTTTTTTGTATTTTAGGTATTTGTATGTTCTACCTTACCAAATAGGTTTAAATTCACTAACTTCATGAACCATATTTAAAAGTATAATAGTTACTGTCATATATCAGATGCCCATATAATCAAATCTAAGTTTCAGGAACTAAGTCTTTCAGTTGTCCCTTGCACAGTGTTTCCTTTCTCACTTCTGGTTTCAGCTTTCTTTCATATGTTTTCTCTGTCACTCCATGTATCTCTCTGCCACTGTCTTCATTACTCCTTCAACATATATCCCTTTGTCTGAATTTCCCTCAAAATTCCTACCTCTGTTTTAGGAACTAATGCATCTTTTTATAATTTAATTATCTCTCATTAGGCTGTTTTCACTCAACCACTGGCATCTGAGTTTATGTCTACAATGTGGCAAAACAGCCATCTGAAAAGTAAAAGAGAGGTAATGAGCAGGAAATAGCTGGTTTTAACTGGTATTATTTTATAATTTAATTGCGTAAATTAAAAAAAAATGGCAACAGCAGACTTTCCTAGTTATGTCACTGTCAGGAAAAAGAGGTAACAGCATATTTTAAATATTCACAGTTGCCTGAAAACCAAATGCACTGATAAATGTGAGAGTATGACAGAAGTATGGCATATGGGACGACTTTTCTGCATAGCCTTCTTTCACTGTTCTTGTTTTCTTCAGGTGGATAAAGTAGAATCCTTCAAATATAGTCAGAGTACCAGGGATAGCCTCCATGCCAAATACAATACCAAAACCTGTGCCACCGTAGTGGGTGATGACCAGTGGGGACACCTGCAATTGGATGCTACCTCTGTGTACCTGCTCTTCTTAGCACAAATGACTGCCTCAGGTCAGTACCAGGACAGAATTACTGGGAGCCGCTTGAGGTGGAGCACTGGCTCTGGCGCACGTGGCTTCTCCAAAGGTGTTTACCAGAAAACAACATAGCTGTTCACATTGCTCAAAGGTACACAGTGGAAAAATAAAATTTTGCAGATTTTATACAGAGAAACAACTCTTTGAGATCTAGTTAGTATTCTTTTCCATTGAAAAACAATTCTGGGGAATTTTCTTAATTGAGAACCAGGAAATTTGGGGTAGATTTTTATTTTTATCCTCAGATACTGTGAGATGGGAAAAAAGAGCTAGAGTTTATTGCTTTTTCTCATGCTATTCACTGACTAGCCTATAGTTAACATTAAATAAATTGAATCACCTACTTTATACTACTGTGTATGTATATATGATAAACAAGGCATCTATCTAAAGGCATCTAAATTATATTAAGGGAATTAACTTAGGAATCAGAATTCCAGTATTTATTTTTATTATTGACTAATATACCCTTTTCAGATGGTTTTGTTATTAGCTTTAGATGCTTCACCTGAAAAAGGAAAATGTAAGAACCAACATAATTCCCTTTTATTTCTCCTAACTTGGTGAGGACAATGAATCTGATTATACTCTGTAAATTAAAAAGGACCTTTCCCAGATCTTCCTGAGTAAGTAAATATACTCAGAATACCACATTTTGATATTCCAATTTCTTTATCTTCCTATCTAGGTATAGAACTCCTAAGTACGAAGGGCATTCAGGGTGAGAATTATCCCAGAATATACTTATTCTACTTTTCTTGCATAAATAAATATGTGGTGATGAAGCCTTCCTTTTCCCCCTCTAGAATGCACAGCCCAGAAGCTGAATTACCTTTTATTAGAATTATAACATGGCTACCCACATACTCCCATCTTTTGGAGAGGAGGTTCCTCCCTGAATAAATATACTTTTAGGTATTATTCATTTAAATAGAATGGCAGCTGTAACTTCATTTCTAATAGTCTTTTAATACCAACTCTAGAGTATTTTTCTACAAAGCAAACTGTCTCAATATTTCTTATGGTTTTCTTTTTTTTAATATTTTTAATGTTTATTATTTTTGAGAAAGAGAGAAACAAAGAGAAAGCAGGGGAGGGGCAGAGAGAGAGGAAGACACAGAATCAGAAGCAGGCTCCAGGCTCTGAGCTGTCAGCACAAAACCTGACATGGGACTCGAACTCACAAACTGCGAGATCATTACCTGAGCTGAAGTCAGCCACTCAACCTACTGAGCCACCCAGGCGCCCCATTTCTTATGTTTTTCAATTTGAGTCTAGAAAGGAAGGAGAAATATACTAAAGAGGCTTATAAGACATACTCATTTAACAAATATTTGTTAATTTCTGATTTAACATGTGATTTTCAACTCAATAAACTGACTTTGATAGGTGCTTGGAAAAGATGGATATTATTTGATCAGGCCTTTGCAGAACAAACAGGAGTAAGTAGAAATTTACAAGACAGAGAAGGAAAGGGAATAGCATGGCTACAACACAAAAGTTTGAAAGATAGCCGACCACCATGGTAAGACTAGTTATCTTCTATGGTTAGAATGTAAGATAGATCTGGAAAATTGCCAAAAGATGAGGCTAGAAAGTTGGAGCTAGCTGTTTAAGGGCGTGTGTACCATGCCAAGTAGTTGGGAGTTTAGTCTATAGTCATTACAGAACCACTCAAGGTAAATAATCAAGAAAGTTTCAGATGATTCACTCCAGTAGCAGAAGGATAGATTGAATGGGGGAGAAAATTAAGATGGACGACTAGTTAGGAGGTTAGTGAAGTACTTGAGGCAAGAAGTGATGCAGAATATATGCAAGGCAATAGCCTTGAGGGTGAAAAGTATAGATGTGAGAGATAATCAATAGATAACGTATGAAAGCTCTTCATGGAAAATTTCCACCTTTCATGAAAGCAATTCTCTGCACATTTTTGAGTATATGAAAATCTCCACCTTGGTTAAAAGAGAGGCTTAGGCAGAAGCCGACACCTTTCTCCCCAGCAAAATAACTGTAAACTGTGAAAATAAATTTGAAAAAAAAGCCCAATCATTTATCACTGGAAATTGTCCTAAGGGCGTACAGCAAAGTGGAGAAACATTTATTCAAGGAAATCTAAATCTTGGTAAGAGCAGTGAGACTGTGGCATTTAGACCACAACCTACTCCCTCCCTCGCCCCGAGCTCACCATGACAGAAACACTATTCAGCTTGGATGTGGCCAAGAATATAAGCCTTCCTCTTCCCCTAGCTCCCAGTTTAAGGCGATATCTCCCCAAGAGAGGTTGCCAGCATTTCTCAAACTCCTCACCTCTGTGTTACAGAAGTTCTGGTCTAGCCAAGAACTGAAACTCTGTTCCTATTCCAGTCCCACTTATGGAGCGAAAGCTTAAACCCAGGCAGAGCAGTCCAAGAATAATAGGCCTGGCCCACCTTGCTAGTAGCATGGAGGCAAAGGCAGGCCACAAGGACAGAAACCTCCGTAGTCCTTCCCAAGAAAACTGACTTTATTTGGAACTGACTGTGGGAAAGTTCAAGTCTAAGGGCACTCTCAAAAACAGTGGAGATTTTTGTTCTAAGAAATAAAGAGGATGCTGATAGCTCAATAAGACCAACAAACTAGCCTATAGACTAGAAGTTTTAGCAGAGAACCAGAGAGAAACAGCTGGAAAGAGTTATCCTAGGGTTAAAACAAATGTCAAAGGCTGGCCTCAAAATCATGAAATGGGGCTTGAATATAATTGGCTGAGACTGTGAAGCAATTTATACCTCAAGGAATTATATGGTATAATAGAGCAGTTGGTGGAGGTTAACAGCTGGGTATGGAACCAACAGAGGCAGACACTTAATAGATCACAGAAGGCTAAAACAAAAACTGTGGTCTTCCTCAGATGACAATGTGTATGCCCTAGGCTACATCCTCTGAGGAACAGCATCAGAGGCTGCATCTTGTGGGAAATATAGATTTCATTGACGTTGTCCAGCCAAGTCACTAAACAAATAAAAAGGAAACATAAAGAAGCCCCATGCAAGAGGGCATCAATTAATCTATAGAGTTTCTATAACACATTATCTACAATATCCAGTTTTCCACAAAAAGTTATGACATATGGAAAGAAACAGGAAAGCCTAGTCAACACAGGAAAGAAAAGGTAACAGAAACTGCCTTTGAGAGGAAGCATATGCTGAATTTAGTAGACAAAGACTTCAAAGCAGTTACTATAAAAATGTCAAAAAATCTAAAGGACACCAGGCTTAAAGAGGTAAAGAAAAATATGATGAAAGTATTTCAACAAATAGAGAATATCAATATGGAGATAAAAATGAACCAAATGGAAATTTTAGAGTTGAAAAGTATAGTAACTTAAATGAAAATTTCACTTGAGAGGCTCAACATATTTGAGCTGGCAAGAGAAAGAATCACCATACTTGAAGATAGATTAACAGAGATTATGCAATCTGAAGAATAGAAGAAGTAATAAAGAAAATGAATAGTACCCAAGAGCAATGTAGGACATAATTTAGAACACCAACTCGTGTAATGAGTATATTAGAAGGAGAGTAAGGGACAGAAAATATATTCAAAGACATAAAATAATGGCTGACTACATCGCAAATTCAATGAAAAACATTGATATGTATACATCAAAGAAGCTCAATGATAGGATAAACAGAAATCCACACCAAGAAACATCATAGTAAAAATTTTAAAAAACCAAATTTTTTTTTTTCAACGTTTATTTATTTTTGGGACAGAGAGAGACAGAGCATGAACGGGGGAGGGGCAAAGAGAGGGAGACACAGAATCGGAAACAGGCTCCAGGCTCTGAGCCATCAGCCCAGAGCCTGACGCGGGGCTCGAACTCACGGACCGCGAGATCGTGACCTGGCTGAAGTCGGACGCTTAACCGACTGCGCCACCCAGGCGCCCCTAAAAAACCAAATTTTTAACAGAACATCTTGAGAGCAATCTGAGAAAAATGACTTGTCATATACAAAAGAACCCAAATAAGGTTATGAACTGACTTTTCTTCAGTAAAAAAAAAAAAAAAAAAAAATGGAGGCCCGGAGGAAGTGGAATGATGTAATCAAAGGACTGTCAACCAACAACCCTATATCCAGCAAAACTATCTTTCAGAAATGAAGTGAAATAAAGATATTCTTGGATAAACAAAAACTGAGATTTTGTTGCTGGTAGACCTACCTTACAAGAAATACAAAAAGGAGTTTTTCATGTTGGAATCAGGTGACCCCAGACAGTAATTGGAATCCACACAAAAAACCAAACCAGTTGTGAAAGACAAATACCATATAATTTCATTCATATGTGGAACTTAAGAAACAATTTAATGAGGAAACAAGAGACAAAAAAAGGAGACTTTCTTTAAAAAGATTTTTTAAATTTTCTTTAAAAATTTTATTTTATTTATTGGAGAAAGAGAGGGAAGAGCAGAGAGGAGAGAGATAGAATTTCAAGCAGGCTCTATACTGTCAGTGTAGAGCCCAATGTGGGGCATAATCTAATGAACCATGAGATCATGACCTGAACCAAACTCAAGAGTCAAACATTGAACCAACTGAGTCACCCAAGCACCCCTAAACTGACTCTTAAATACAGAGAACAAACTGGTGGTTTCCAGAGGGGAGGTTGGTTGTGTGTATGGTGGCGGGGGGGGGGGGGGGGGGGGGGGGGGCAGGATGAACGAACTAGGTAAAGGGGATTAAGAGTACACTTAACTTGGAGCACCTCGCTGGCTCAGTAAGTACAGCATGTGACTCTTAATGTCAGGGTCATGAGTTGAAGCCCCATGTTGGGACTAGAACTTACTTAAAAAAAATAAGTACAAAATTAGGGGCACCTGGGTGGGTCAGTTGGTTGAGCGTCTACCTCTTGATCTTAGCTCAGGTCTTAATCTCAGGATCATGAGTTCAAGCTCTGCATTGGGCTCTGTGCTGGGTATGCAGCCTACTAAATTCA